TGTTTCTTGGGTCTGACTCTTTCACAGCTATATTTTATGCTTGTCCTTGGTCAGCCCTGTGAGGGGGTGTCAGTGTTTCTTTCTGATCTGCGAGAGTGACAGGAAGACCACAGCTGGGGCCAGCAATGTGTGCAAATGTGAAGAACAGTATAGCCAGGGGGCCAGCAGCTGAGACAGAACATGGAAAACAATATCCCCACTTTATTTTCATTGTTTGATGTACTTTTGCTGTTTTTCTATTAACAGTCTTGACACTAGATGAAGCCTGGTGCTTCCCTCTGCTCAGCTTATTACATTGTCTGTAATACTGATTTCCAATAAAAATGATATGTTCAAGCCAGACTTCATCTTATTTCCCTTCAGTAAATAGATTATTACCATCTTTTTGATGGATGGAGCAGCATGAATTCCAGGATGTACATGTTTCTCATGATAACTTTCTCAAGAAACCTGAACAAATGTCTTCTGAGTTATTTTCATTATAATTTTATTCATTTGTCTAGAACACATAGATCAATTGACTACATGGTGAATTTGGTAGAATTGGCTGACAAGGGAGTGGCTGATGTCTGAAGAACAAACCTAGGCTTTTCTGTCCCAGATGAGCATAGCTTAGCTAATAAGAATATTAGTCCTGGCTTACTATTTATTGATCTTGACCTGGGTCCTAGAGAGCCATATTTTATGCAATATCACATTTAAACTTTAACAGCAATCCCATGAAGTAGGTACTGATACCATCTTCATTTTCCTGATGGAAAAACTAAAGCTCAGATCTTTTAGTCTGTCTTTCTTTCTTTCTTTCTTCTTTCTTTCTTTCTTTCTTTCTTTCTTTCTTTCTTTCTTTCTTTCTTTCTTTCTTTTTTTCATTGCTCTAGAGGAGGGGTTGGCAAACTCTTTCTATAGAAGACCAGAAAATAAATATTTTAGACTTTGGGCCACCCTATCTCTGTGACAACTCCTCAGCTCTGTTATTGTAATACTACAGAAGCCTTAAAAAATGGCTGTATTCCAATAAAACTTTATTCTTAACACTGATATTTGAATTTTATGTAATTTTCTCATGTCACATAATATTACCATTCTTTTGATTTTTTAACCATTAAAAATGTAAAAATCATTTTTTAACTTGCAGTAAGTATAGGAGCTGGTAATTGGCAAGATTTGGTGATCCCTGATATAGATGATGAGCAGAGAAGGAAGAATGGGTTGGGATGTGGTGGTAGGAAGGACATTCCTGTCAGAGGGAACAGCATGTGTGCAGGTAGCAGAGAGCATGAAGTGTTTGAGGAAATGCAAACAATGCAAGTACAGTTTGATAGGGCATGTGGCATGATCAGAGGAGACATCAAGGCCCAAGTTATGACCTTATAGGACATTTTAATGATTTTAGACTTTATCCTTAGATCAATGAGAAGGCATTAAAAGAATTAGGCAAAGGAATGACAAGGGCAATTTTTTTTTAAAGGTCATTGGCTGACATGTGGAGAAAGGATTGCAGTGAATTAGTTAATGCTGGACGTTGGACGCCATTTAACACCTGTGGATCTTGACCCAGCATCTAGAAGGGTTCAGGAAACCTGGAGAAAGGGTTGTGCGTAAATTAAATAAGAGTCCAGAGACAAAACATAATTTTGAAAGGCATATAGGAGAGGGAAGGGGGGAAGCATGAGGAGCTTGGCTGAAGAAATCAAGTTCTCCTTGTCTCAGGACCCCTTGCTTTTTATTTTTATTTATTTTTATTTATTTTTTAATTTTTTTAATTTATTAAATTATTATCTGTGTACATATTTTAACATTGCCCCCCCCCCCCACATACCCTCCCTCCCCAGAGTTTTGTGTCCATTAGTTGTACTTATATGCATGTATACAAGTCCTTCGGTTTTGAGCATGTTTTCATGTGCCTTTTGGCCTTCCTTCTGTCTTCTTTTGAAAATATTCTATTTAGGTCCATTGCCCATTTTTTAATTGGATCATTCATCTTCCCTTTATTTAGTTGTATAAGCTGTTTGTAGATGTTGGAGATTAAACCTTTATCAGTGGTAACATTTGCAAATATGTTCTCCCACACAGTGGGCTTTCTTGTTGTTTTGCTGATGGTTTCTTTTGCTGTAAAAAAGCTTTTTATTTTGATGTAGTCCCATTTGTTTATTTTCTCTTTAGCTTCCATTGCCCTAAGGGCAGTATCAGTGAAGAAGTTCTTTTGGCATATGTCTGAGATTTTGTTGTCTGTGGATGCTTCTAGTATTTTTATGGTTTCCCGTCTGATGTTTAAGTCCTATATCCATTTTGAGTTTATTTTTGTGCATGGTGTAAGTTGGTGATCTAGTTTCATTCTTTTGCTCCTTGCTTTTTATTAACACAATTTATTCTTAGGCAAGGTGGAGATATACACATCAAAGGGTAGGGTTTTGTACAGAATCCATTGTCAGATTGAGGAATTGCCTTCAGGTGTTTGGCCAACAGGAGGCAATAACTTCTAGATTGAGATCCCCTAAGCTGTCTGGCAGCAAGTCGTCATTTTCAGATTTGGGGAAATGCCTTTAGCCATTCCAGCAGGCAATAACATATGTGCCTCACCCTTGTTGAGTCCCCAAGTTCCATCAACCTTTCTATGAAACTCTTGCAATTATGACATGCTGAAACTGGCTTCTGGCAGTTAGTAACAGTAGAAGCAAAAAAAAAAACAAGCTGGGTGATCATGGTAGCTATTAGTGAATGTAGCCATACCATTTTCTGACGACAGCATCTTCAGACAGCGAGGATGAGCAGGTTTGTAGAGGAGGAAAATGTGGCTGGGAGAAACGAGTGTCTTGCCTGGTCACATAGCAAATGGAAATAGAGCAAAGATGAAGGCCTGGTCTTTCTCTCTGTATGGTGTGAAATTCTTAACATTCTAAAATTGAAATTACGTTTATCTTAATCTGTCGTTTATCTCTGACTTTACAACTGTAGAGGTGGCTACTCCTGTCTGTCTCTCATAAAATTCTCATGAATGAGGATAGCACCTCTTAGTTTGAGTCATTAGTTCTCATTTTCTGAGGAAATTAATTTTGTTGTTGAGGGGAAATGACCCCTTGTTCAAATAAGAAAAAGGCCGAAGATGATACTGTGGGGATAGTTTTATATTATTTTTGTGCTGGCATTAGACAGGGAGCTGAATACTTCTTTAAAGGTCAGCTTCTCTTACAATCTGCATAGCTTTCTTTCCCAAGTAAGAATTGGCACACTCTCTTCTTCCTTTGGAGGAGTAATTCATCGGGCTGGGCCTCAGAGTCACACCAGTTCTGACACAGGCATATACATAACTCTGGCTCAGAGCACTCCATCTTTTGAACAATATAATGCCAAACAGTTGGAGTCAGGTGGGGAAGAAAGGAAGAGGAAAAAGGTGAGATGCCTGCCTTGAAGAAAAAGGGTGGTGGAGATTTGCTTCAGCTTCTCAGGGGTTGTGCCCAATAGGTGGCAGTGGGTGACACTGACCTACGGTGTGGGTGGGAGAATGGGAGCTTCAGAAAGCTTTTGATGGGTGAGCCCAGTGGTGGTTACTGCTCAGTGAATCTTGGTTTTGACTGGTATTTCATTCAAATCACTGTTATTTGTCACTTTGTATTCCTTCCCCATTATGAGGGAAGGTCTGGGGTATCCTGATCTGTGTCTCAAGTATCTCCTCCTATCCCATGTCAATTAGGTGTTTCATCAGCAGAAAGGATTTATTTGGGAAAAAGAAAGGCTTATAAACCAGAGCATGCAGACAGGGCAAGTCATGTGCAAGTTCTGGCCTGTGCCAATATGAAAAGTATTTATAGAAGGGAAAGGGAGTAAAGGGAATGGAAATTAGAACCATAGAGCTTTACTACAAACACAGAGTTCTCCCTTGTAGTACTCTCACAGATGCTTCCATAAGACCTAGCTCCTTGCATAGATCCTCAAAATTTATGTTTGCTTAAAGTGCCATTTAATCTTTATCATCCACAATTGACAATGTCTTGCACACAGCAGGTGTTCAGTATTTAATACTGGTTCTGTAGACCTGTCACCTTTGGCATCCATAGTGCACAGTACAACCTCTTCTCTCAAAAAAGTCAGAATTTTCTAACCTGAAGTCTTCAGAAAGAAGACACTTGGGATATCCTGAAAAAAGGACAAATTTTAGGAGGATCATCCATTGAGGATCTTCTCCCTTTATGCAACTTATGCTGTCCACTTCTCTTTTCTTCATCCCTTTTGACTAGACTTAGGTTGCATGTCTTTATTGTTGTATAGTAGATGCTCAATAGAGATATGCTGAGTTAGTTCACTCCTGATACTGATTTTATTTATTCTCTGTAAGCTCTTTTTTTGTTGTTGTTAATCCTCATCCAAGCATATTTCCCCATTGATCTTTAAGAGACAGTGGAAAAGAGAGGGAAAGACAGAGAGAAATATCGATGTAAGAGAAATATATTGATTGGTTGTAGGCATCCTACACAGGTCCTGACCAGGGCCCAGGCAATCAAGGTATGTGCCCTTGACTGGAATCAAACTCGGGACCCTTTAGTCCACAGGCCTACACTCTATCCAACTGAGCCAAACTGGCTAGGGCTCTGTAGGCTCTTTACATATTCACTCAGGTATAGGTGATGAGGCTGAAGTTTCAGGCTCAGATGTATTGATATACTCTGTCTCTCTCTCTCCTTCCCTTCATTCTTTCATCAGTTATTGAAAGTTGATTACTACTATGTTCCAGGTATTGGGGTAAATTATGTAGTGTTGGGGGCAACAACAAAAGAAGACATGGTGTCTGATATCAAATACATTCTACCCTAGTAGAGAGAGAACAGGAAATAATGGCCACTTGTAGGATGTGTGGGCAGCCATGAGGGCCTCTCCCTGACTAGTGGGTAGGACCTCCCTGAATAGTCTTCCTGCTGAAGTCTCAAAGGTGGTCAAGAGCAGAGTCCCTGCGCAGCTGTGGGTGAATTAACAGGTTCTGCACTTGCCTTTCTCCATGTGCGCAGGGTGGAGATGTCTGCCCAGAGGTCAGTTTCTAACAGAACATCTCAGCAGTCTGCATCTAACTCTGACTACACCTGGGAGTATGAGTATTATGAGATTGGACCTGTTTCCTTTGAAGGACTGAAGGCTCATAAATGTAAGTCTTTTACTTATGTATTTGTCTTAACCTATGAAATCCCCAGTGATTTCCTGGCATTTGTTTTTTTTGCAGAACTCTCTCCTCTACCCCACAAAGTCCCAGAAAACACCCCCTCTAAACACAATGACTGCTCGCTCATGTGTGGTATTACATGAGGGCCTTGATGATTCCGAGTAACAAGGAATTGAAATATGGGGGAATATGAATCAATGTCGGTCTTAAACTGAGATATTGCATTAAAGCACTAACAGTTTCAGCTCTCGCAACTGTGTAAACATTTGGACCTTCAAAAATGTGACAGAAGTAGAATCTGGAACTATTCATTTTGAAGAACCTTGTTATGTAACACATGGTCATCGACATCTTTCAGTCTGTTGGTTTTTCTGGAACTGGAGCTGGGAGAGCAGTCTCTGTGTGTGTTCATGATGATGGGCAAGAATAGCCTGTGATCATTCCTAACTCTGTGTTATATGACTCATGTGTCTGTTTATTGGACTGATTAGTGATCCAGCACAGAGCAAGGAAATACAGTTCTGTGAGAGGTTACTTCCGATTCCAGTCATAACTAAAAGCTGACTGTCCTGTGGGAAGCCTCTGTGTTATCTTTTTTTTTTTTTTAATAGATTTTATTGATTTTTTACAGAGAGGAAAGGAGAGAGATAGAGAGCTAGAAATGTCGAAGAGAGAGAAACATCGACCAGCTGCCTCTTGCCAGCCCCTACCGGGGATGTGCCCGCAACCAACGTACATGCCCTTGACCAGAATCGAACCTGGGACCTTTCAGTCCGCAGACCAACGGTCTACCACTGAGCCAAACCAGTTTCGGCCTCTGTGTTATCTTAAGTAGAGCTGACATAACAAGCAGGAACTGCTGCCCACGCCCAGGTCCTGTCCTGATGGCCCCATAAATAGTCCAGAGATGTGTGCTTGTTTCAGAATGAATATCTGCAGCACTACCAACATTTTAGGTTTGTAACTGGTCCAGATTAATGGGACACATTAGGAAATATAAGACAGATTAGAATGGGGGATATAGATGTGGCAAAGGAAAAGCATTTGCTTGTTTAGTATTTCCTGGCCACTCCCATTCTGACCTTGGCATTCATGAACCCTCACACTGATTTGCTGTTCCTTGCAAGGAGGTCAACTTTAGGAGAAATTATTTCATTATGATGCATACCATTTAGAAGTCCCTTGGCCATGTGCTTCACCCTTTACTGTAATGCTCTCTAAGAAGCTCCGTCTCTAGACAGGACGGAAGCAGCTGCTCATAGCCACTCTGGAAGGCTTCTCTTGGCTTCCTGAACCATGGCACTTGTCAGAACTGCACTCTGAATCTCTACGCTGACTTCCTCCCAAGAAAGAGTGCTTCAATGAAGACCAGGAGTTGTGGTTCCCCGTGTACCACAGTGCCCATGCCCATGAAACTTGGCAAATAAATACAATTTCAAGAGAGTTTGTATATTCCTAGGGTGAAATGGGGCTCTCCATTCATCCCTGAAAGGGGTTTAGGGTAAGAATATTCCTTGGAGTTGGACCACACGCAGAGGATGCAGTACAGAAGAACTAAAGAAAATAATGTAAGGGAGTAAATTTTATCTGAAGGGGAGTGTAAACAAGCAAAACTGATTAAATGAGAAAGGAAAAAGGAAACATATTGTGATGAGAAACATAGATGCCGCATTATCAACAGTTTGGAAATACTAAAATGCTAACCACAAAACTCCCTGCTCTGCCCGCCTAAGACCCCTCCTATGCTGGGACCCTCCAATGCCCACATTATTGCTGCATTTTTTATCAGGGCCCTGGGGCCCTAGAAGGACAGAGGGAAGGATCTGGGCTGGGTAAATGACACCTTCTCCCACCTCTGCCCACCCGTGAGTTTGGATTGCAGCTCCCATTACAGTGTGAAGGCCATCCTCCCGAGAACCCCTTCCTCAAGCACAGATTTTAAAAGTGAGGCAATGCGACTAGATTCACTTCTCAGTTGAATGTGATGCTGATGTGTGTCGTTGTAGAATTTGCTTTGGTTCTGCAGGCAGCTGATGAAGAACAGGGTGCTGTCATTTATTTGTACAATGGTGTTGCACAGTCTGTGCCCCCATAATTGAATTGTTACATGTCATTGCACTTGCTTACATGTGTTTTTTGGGGACTTGTCCTTGTGTCTTTTTTAGGCCTCATTTCCTTTATAAGGCAAAGTGTACAATTTCTATTTCCTTGGCCTGCTTAACCCCAGGAAAGATACATGGGTTTTGCATCCAGAATTCTGACTATTCAGCACATGGTTGAATAATAGCTGTTAATCTTTAGGCAATAGTATTTGCAGAATGAAAGTATAAATTATACAAAGTAAACCACTAATCTGGTTTCTTTGCTTTAAACAAAATGAATTAGAATTTAATTAGAATGCTTTTACATTTATACATTTAGTGTCTAAGCCATCCATTTTTAAAAATTGCTAGGCATTCTCACTGCCTGCCCACATAGGTTGACTTTTTAGCATAAATCAGAAAATGTAAAACAATTCAGCTCAGTTGTCTCCTCCAAATTTGAGACCCTATTATATTTGTGCCAGGGTCTGTAGACAGTCCAGTCTCATCCCTATCTTAGAGACATATACTTGTGACTGTCTCCCAAGACAGGGTCAAGGAAGGGCCCCTGTAGTGAAGCACAGACAAGAATGACATGGGGTTCAAGGCCAGGAGAGAGCTCATCAACTGGGGAAATCTACCCAAGAGCTGGTGTAAGGTATGAGTTTAAGGATGGATGGACTTGCATCAGCTCTAGGTTGGGGACAGTTGTTCTAGCCAGGTAAAGGTCAGAGCCCCCGAAAAGGCATGGGGATTAGGAAGCTGTGGCTAAGATTAAGGTACATATAGGGACACAATTTCACACAAGTCTGATGTGAGACATGGGCTTTAAGGTTAGGTGTAAACTGGGAGAAAATAATTTAACAATAATAGCTGGCAAATGTAGGTTACCTTTTTTCAGATGCCAGGCATTGGGTAAAGTGCTTTATGTATGGAATCTTTTTTAACCTGGAGAAGGTTGGGTCTATCTTTGTTGAAAAGTTTTTCATAAGAGAGCAATACTATCAGAGCTGGAATAAAGCAGGTTCACACCCAGCTGCACAAGGAAAACTAGAAGAGAACGCAGGAGGCCATTTGCATGTTCTCAGCAAGAGGCAATGAGGACCTCAACTATTCCAGCATGAACAGCAGTGGGGAAAAAAATGGGTTGGTTTGAATCAGAATTCATTTAAAACTGTATATTGCAGTTTTTGCTAAAAATGGCATTTTCTAACTCAAGATACTTCACCGGAATCTTGGGGTCCTGGGTGGCCTATGTTCTGTCCTCAGTTCCTTTACTGGGAAATGGAAACCAGTGGTCAGTCAGGCAGAAGTCTCTCAGTGTTACCTGAGATGGGAACATGGAGGTGACCCAGGTTCTTCTCTCTCCCTCATCCCCACATCTTACCTGCCCCAAGTCGATAGATGGGTCAAGGTTGTCCCCTAGATTGTTGATGTACCAACAATCATTTAATGTACCAAAAAGTTCAGATTTCCTGACCAAGTTTTCAGCTCCTGTGAAATGCTAATCCCAGTATTCATTGTTTTGCAGACTCTATTGTGATTGGTTTTTGGGTTGGTCTCGCAGTCTTCGTGATTTTCATGTTTTTTGTGCTGACTTTGCTGACGAAGACAGGAGCCCCACACCAAGAGTAAGTTTGGACTGTTCCTAAATATCGATAAAGTTCCACAGGGAACTGAAGAAACAAAGATAATACCCAGGGCTGGGGGTTACTTCCAGGGGTGGAGAGAGGGCTTGGTTATGAATAACGGCCTGCATCTAGGTGCCTGTGCGTGGGATCTGCCTTCCTCCTGGCCTCTTGCCTCTGGGGCTTGTTTTAGAGTGGAACCTTGTGAACCTGGGCTTCTTGGTTCCTTCTTATAGTTTAATGCTGATGCAGGCCTGATGTTTATGTTGAAATACTTATTAATTAGGATGTGTTCTCTGCTTAGTCCCAAGAGAATTTAGATGTCTGGCCAGATTAACATCAGTGAAAAAGGACAATGACCACTAAGTAGGATGAAAACTAGTTTTTAAAAACATGCCAAGGAATAGAGAAATAGTTTTTACCGAATATTCGATTGAATTAATCATTGCCAATAAACACTGAGTTCAATGCTGAGTTTCCTTGAATCTAGGGTTAAAAAAAGAAACACTTCAGATTATGTGATATTCATAGCAGGACAAAGATTTGTGTTGGGCTTTGGATTTAAGGAGGAAATTATTACATGGGTGCTTAAAGGATATTGAGCAACATTAGAAGGTATTTGTTAAATTATGGTTTTCAAAAACTCAGAAATGTTTTGGAGAATTTTTGGTCCCAACTTTTTTAAAAAGGGGAAATAAAACATAAGTTGAATACCATTTTAGTCAGCTCCAGCAGACACAGTAGCACACTAAAATTAGGTAGTTAGAGCATTTAATGAAGGGGCTATTTATAAGTTGTGGCCAGGAAGGAGGACAACCCCACAAGACAGTACGGCATTGTGAGTTGGTGGTCTAGTTTCATTTTTCAGCAAGTATCTGTTCAATTTTCCCAACACCAATTTTTAAAGAGACTATTTTTATCCTATTGTATGCTCTTGCCTCTTTTGTCAAATAGTAATTGACCAAAATGATGTGGTTTGATTTCTGGTGTCTCTGTTCTATTCAGTCTGTCTGTATATCTATTCTTGTGCCAATACCAGGCTTTTTTTTTTTTTATAATGACTTTGTAGTATGGTTTTATATCTAGTATTATGATCCCTCCAACTTTATTCTTCTTTCTCAAGATTGCTGAGGCTATTCAGGGTATTTTTTGATTCTATATAAATTTTTGGAATATTTGTTCTAGATCTGTGAAATATGCCATTGGTATTTTAATAGGGATTGCATTGAATCTATAGGTTGCTTTGGGTAGTATGGACAGTTTAATGATATTAATTCTTCCAACCCATGAACATGGTGTATTCTTCCATCTGCTTGTATCTTCCTCTATCTCTTTTTTCCAATATATTATAGTTTTCCAAGTACAGGTCTTTCACCTCCTTGGTGAAATTTATTCCTAAGTATCTTATTTTTTTGTTGCAATGGTAAATGGGATTGTGTTTCTTTTTCTTAGAGTTCATTAGTTTCTCTTTCTTAGAGTTCATTATTTGGTATATAATTACCATATTCTTATTATCATATTTCACTATACGGTCTCCAGTATCTATTGTTCAGTCTTCAGCCTGAACTTGAACTATAAAAAAATGTCTGGGTAAAGGGAACAGCTCTGTCCATAACTCAGCTATGTCCAGACATCAGAATCTGGAAAAAGAAATTAAACATATTTTACATGAAAGGATACCATTTTATTGAAGCACATAGAGATATGTGATTGAGAATCTTACTAATAGACACTTAAAAAGACACAGACTTCCCACTTTCTTTGTCCATGTTCTTATGGACATCTGCACATGTCTTTTCTTCTATTATATTGGTCCATGGATTTGGAAATATGATGTGGATTGTAACAGTAGTAAGAGAAGTCAAGTACAAACTCAGATTAGGGCACATCTCATATAGTGGTCAGGGAATAAATACATCTCATTATCTTCCTTTTCCTCAGAGGGACAGATAGATTTTTATGATGTTATTACTAAGATGGATTTGTCTGATGTAGGATGCAGGTAATTGTACAGATGGGAACCCTAACTCAAAGCATAACATGACTTCCTGTGATGGTTAATTTTATGGGTCAACGTGGCCAGGCCATGGTACTCAGATATTTAATCAAACATTATCCCATATATTTCTGTGAAGATCTGGTGTGTGTGTTTGTGGGTGTTTAGATGAGATTAACTTTAAATCAGTATTATTTGGATAAAGCAGTTCATCCCTATTATATGGGTGGTTTTCATCTAATCAGTAAAAGGCCTTCATAGACAAAGACTCAACCACCTCAATCTAAAAGAAATGCTGCAAACTGCTTCACACCCGAACTACAACTCTGCCCTGGGTCTGCAGCCTGCCAGTCTACCTGCAGATTTTGAACTTGCCAGCCTCCACAATCAAATGGACCAATTCCTTAAAATAAATCTGTATCCCTCTTTCTATATAGGATAGAAAAATAGATAGATGATTGATAGATAGACAGATAGATAATAGAAAAGAAGGAAGGAAAAAATGAAAGACAGAAAGGAAGAAAGGGAGGGAGGAAAGGACGGAGGGAAGAAAAAAGGATGAAAGCAAAGGGAGAGAAAGAAAAACAGGTGATACACAACACATACAAGCGTGCGCGAATGCGCGTGCACACACGGATCTTGTTGACTCTGTTTCTCTGGAGAATCTGACTAGTACATTTACTTAACATGTTATGTTGACCCTGGATAGCTGAGACTTGCATTTCTAGTCTTCTAATTGGTAGTTCGGTTCAATTGCAAATGGTTTCTCACTTGATGGCGGTTCTGAATAATCTCAATCAAAGAACAGGGGTCATTGTAACTCCTCATGCTTTCAATGAGGTTAAGGAGAAAGTCTTACCTTTTGGTTTTACTTTTTTATTTTTAATATATTTTATTGATTTTTTACAGAGAGGAAGAGAGAGGGATAGAAAGTTAGAAACATCAATGAAAGAGAATCATCAATCAGCTGCCTCTTGCACACCCCCTACTGGGGATGTGCCCGCAACCAAGGTACATGCCCTTGACCAGAATCGAACCCGGGACCTTTCAACCCTCAAGCCAACACTCTATCCACTGAGCCAAACCGGTATTACTTTTAATAAAATAATTGATTGGCCCTCTGAGAAACACTTTTTAAGTATTTTTTTTAGTCTAAGGCAATGTAAGACATGGCATTTTGTTGCAGTATATCAATAGAAAATTGAAAGAAACAAACATGCAAAAAATTCCTAAATGGATCAGTTTAAAAGGCTTTTTGATCTTAATAAACTTGACATTTATTTGGTAGGAATTTTCTCCAAAATAGCCGTTATTTTTTCCATTGAGCCAACTTTAATATAAAATAAACCATTTCAATTTTTCCTATGATAATTAGGCATGGAGGAAAGAATGATGAAATCATTGAGAATACTAGTAGAAACCTTTTAAAAACATGTTTATTATCTGCCACGGTCTACTAAAATCCTTTTATATGTATAATCTCACTAAATCCTCACAGGAAGATAAAATAAATCCCCCAAGTGTTCCCACTTTACAGATAAGAAAAATGAGGCAGAATCATTAGTCTGAGATATCACAGATAAAATAAACAGAAAAATGCTGTGAACCAAGCAAAACCTCTTAGACTCTGAAGTTGAATCAAAGATATTAGTAAGCAATCAGATTTGTTTTATTTTATCACATAGCTAATCAAGTGTGGGTTCCTTGGTGCTGGTGGAAGTCCTAGTGGCAGCTCAAGGCCAGGTGAAAAGAAACCCACCTCTCATGGGACAATCAGATCAGAAACATTCACGTAGCATCTACACTTGTCAAAATGGTGCCTCATTCTTCCCAACATCAGCTTAGGTGTGGCTCTCAGTGAAACAGAAGGTGAATAGAGAGAACCTACGTAGAGTGTGTTGGTGATGGATAGAAAAGATGGATATGTCTGAGTTCTGGTTGCTTTAAACACCAGACTCCCTGGTTGGTTTGTCCTAAGGACAGTTACTTCCTCAAGTAGGATATCACAAATATGATTCCAATGTTCTGGTTAAGATACCTGGCCAAGTTTGCAAGCTCCAAATAGATCAATGATGAACCTACTACTTAATTCTATCTTTTCCCCCCATGGAGGCATCTCAGGGGTGGGTGGGTGGGTTTGAATGGCTCACTTGGGTCTTATCAGTGCTGATACATGGGGAGGGTATGTGTATCTCTTCAACAGCGGGGAGACACAAGGATGGCAGAGACCACCTCCGCTGCCCCCACTCCCTGTGCCCATGCCCACAACAGACATTACTAATCGATTGTGTTATTTTCCATGCATGGCCAAGACTTGGCCTCAGAATCATTTTCAAAACACCACTCCAGATAGCCATCAGGAATTAATCACAGTCACAAAACACCACTCCAGATAGCCATCAGGAATCAATCACTGTTCTCCACACTCAGCTCACTAGTCACAGTGACAGGGAAGAGAAAGCTGGAGATCTCACCTGTGCCCTTCCGTTCTTTAACTTGGGAGGGAGAGAGGAAAGGAGGAGGACGGGAGGGAGGGAGGGAGGGAAGGAGGAAGGGAGGGAGGGAAGAAGGAAGGGAGGGAGGAAGGAAGGGAGGAAGGAAAGAAGGAAGGAAGGAAGGAAGGAAGGAAGGAAGGAAGGAAGGAAGGAAGGAAGGAAGGAAGGAAGGAAGAAAGAAGGAAGGCTGGCATCACTGTTCTTAAAAGCTTTTAGGGCCAAGAAGCAGCTATAATGGGGATCATTTCCCCCACGGAATATTCACTGTTGTCTGTGGGGAGAAAAACCCTCTTACCTGAATCCTTTATGGAGAAGAAAGGTAAAAGAACCATTTCCCCCTGCTTTCTCAACTAGGCAGCCATTTGCTCTCTATGGCGTCTTGTTAAAGCATTATGGCTCTATTATCATAAATCCGTCAGAGAGAGAGTAGCAAAAAAGGCTGGGATCACAGCTTTCTGTAGGATATTATAGACTTCTTTAAAAAAATTATCAAACCACAGACATCACATACC